TTTACGTGTTATTTATTTGCTGGTTTATTTTTTATTACCTCTTGTTTTATGTTTTCTTCTCTAAATTTCAAATGACAATCTCACCAACAGTTTGTTAAGTAAGTTTTGGGGAGACTTGGTAAGTGTTCTTTGGTTTATCTGCAGGCTTGCAGAGTGGCCATTCATATATATTTGAAGAGTTTTAGAGAGCTTGGAGCAGATATAGAGTGTATATTTAAAGGATGTGGCCATGGTGCTCCAATAAGCTTGTAGACTTTCATTAAAGGGGGAATACTATGAAAAATCCACTTTCACAGTGTTTTTGAACATATATTTTGGTAACCTGAGTGTCTACCGACCCACAAAATGTGAAATAAACCCATCCAGTCCATTGATTGTTTTCTGCATAAGTCTTACAACATAAAAATGCTCTGTTTCAAATTTGCTCTCCTTGTGATGTCACAGTGGGATTCTGTTAAAAAATAAAACCCTCCCATCCCGTTATCTCCACCCACGGACTCTGCAGTCAGCCTTTCGCAAAACTTTTGCGCAGGTCCGCTATTTTTATTCTCACTAGCGAAGGAGTGATGCTCATTGCATTTAAAGAGACACACACACCAAAACAGAGCGTTCTGAGAGAGCTGGTTTATACAGGGTCACAAACCTCCTCTGATGCTTGATTCATGTTATATTTTGACCAAAGCACAGCATAGATGTTCATTTAGACCACGGGGGACTGTTTGGAAAGGTGACAAAGGTGTATAATATGTCCTCTTTAAATAAAAAATAAATCAGCCATATAAGGGGGTCCCTCTTGTGGATTTTTGGAGCCAGCATTGACCATATTTGAGTTGCGTCTTGTCAATCATAATGATACCCAGGCCTTAATGTATACCCTGCTTCAATGTCTATTTTACTCTAAAGTGATCCTTAAAATAAACATCATGCTGTATTGAAGAAGACTAGAAAGTATTGAAGCTTCGAATCCATTCTGAAAATGCCTACAAAAGGTTTTTAATGAATAATATGCCTATTTATTCATTGGCTTCTATCAAAGTTGGAGTCACCTCCTGCTGGCAATTGGAAAGTATGCAGATCAAAGGCAACTCCAAATTGGTTTCTCTTTTGATATGTGCAAGGTTGTGAGAATGCCTATTAAAAAGGTATTCTATCATATAAAACTAACTTATACAGTACAAAACAATTTCTGTATATTGAACTTATTTTTGTTGCCAACAAACATGTTCAGAGTGGATCTTTAATATCTTCTTTGTAAAACATGAATCCATTGAAATCTGAGAATAACGGTCAAAGATTGAATAGCTGTAAGTCCTTACCTGCCTTCATTAAAACCACCAACGAAGAAGAAACCACACAGAGACAGGAAAGACAGGATATTGTCTTATGTATCACTGTGCTCAGTTTAACTAATGTCTGATAATCAAAGGGACATTTCTTCAGTGTAATGTCAGATGGTCCATGATTGAATTAAGACCTGATAAAAAGATACGATCCCGCTGTCAAGCAACAGTAGTGCATGACAGTGTCTAATTGAGGATAATACTTCAGGGCTTTAAAGTGCCCCTGTTGCTCTCATGTCATGAGAGCAAATGAGTGCATTATACAGACACAAATGTATTGAATTTGATGCCATTGTGTCAGTATCTCAATTCCTTGTTCCATTATGTACGGATGATAACAGCTAGTGTCACATTAGGGCCAAAGACAACAGTTCTGCAGAACCATTATAGATAAGTGAACCAGGAACAGCTGAATTTGTCACAGTTGCTGGAAAACAAGGGAGGTGGACCCAAACAAAAACTTACTTTTAAATGTTCAACGAAAAAACACAGCGATCAAAAACAAGGAGCCACACAGGAGCACGAGGAAAAACTGACATCTACTGACACTGACATAACACACCGCCAAATGACAACTGCTTACAACAATAATCTGACACATAAGGGAAGAAACACAGACTAAATAGACATGGGGTAATCAGACACAGGTGAGACAAACGACACAGGTGAGGACAATCAGGGCAATCAACATTGGAGCGAAACACACAGAGGCAGGACAAGAAACACTGAGGACAACTACGACATAAATAATTGAAGAAAGTTACAACAATACACACTAGAACATAAAGAAACACTAGGATACAAAATTACACAGGAAACACTAAAGACTAAACTAGAAAACACACAAGGGAAACACCAGGGACGAATGAGAACTAAAACAAAATAAATACACCCAAACTCTGAGAAACTAAACTAAACAGACCAAATCATGACAGAATTAGATACTATTTTTGGTGTTTGTGTTGTTTATTTAAAAGACAGAGCCTCTGGAATGACTTGCTCACTTTTTCATCCAGAGAGTGGAGGGTGAACAGCACGAGCTGAGTAACTATCATCGAGCTATGGCGCATCGTCTTCTCTGTAGAAATGCCAACAACAATCCTGACAGCTGGGCACGAACCATCACATATAAATCAATGTATGAGAAACACTGAATGAACTGACGGATGGTTGGTAACTGCTTTATAGTTCTTAAAACTAAAACTAAACTGGAGTTTAAACTTCTGGATGCTGGGCCTTGTTTTGTTCATTGACTAGTCCAGTTTGGTGAAGATATCTTGGCCTCCAAAGTGCCTGCTTTAACTTTTCTTTGTTCAAAATGTTTCTTGTGTGTTATGTCTGAGATAATCCCTTTTCTTTTTTGTTTGTGGTGTGTGTGTTTCTGTCGACAATAAGTAACATCAGTTGAATCCACCAAAGCTGTCAGTCTAATCTCTGCACTGTTGTTCATTTAGCTGAGTCTCAGCAGAGTGATGCAGGAGCAACAGCATGGCAGGCTGTTCACTTGGAATGGAAGTCAAATGACACACAGAAGTCAGCTGTCCCCTTAAAACAAAACAAGCTCTTATAAATAAAGTTCAAGATGACATTTGATAGAAATTCTTTATCTGGTTGTGTGACAGTAAAAAAAAAAAGTGATAAGCCAGAAGAAATAAGAAGTAGAAGTGTAGAAATCTCTTTAAGTTAAGCCATCCAGGACACCACAGAGGTCTCGTCTTTCCCACAACAAATGGAGCTAATGTAATCAGCAAAGATGTTGAACAAAGGAGATTCACGTTAATAATCTGTATTTCTTTGATGCTCTTTGGTAAGAGAGACATGCTTGGGCATGTCAGTGTAGATTTGTGTATTGGCGTTTTCTGTAATAATATTGGCACCCTCATCCAGTACCATCATTTTTTTTTCAAGTTTCTTAAATTGGAATTCATTCAATTTAGCAGTCCTTTCTTTGGCAGGAAAGTAAAACGCAAAGTTTGCTCAAGTATTAGAACACAGATCCATCCATATGAATGCAATTGTATGACAATACACAATACAATACAATACAATACATTATTGTCCCCCTCGAGCAAAATTTGTTGTCATAGCTTCACGCAGTTGGTACATAGGTATACATTTATAATAATGTAGCATGGTAAGAAACATATAAACAACAGAAAGAAACACATAGATAAAGAAAGAGGCCAGTCAGCATTGAAGCTTATTAAGAGCTTCAATAGGTGAGGGAACCAAACTCTTCTTAAAGCGTGCCCTCTCCCAGGTCAGAGTCCTCTATCTCCGGCCTGATGGCAGACAAAATAACATTCAGAAGAACATGATAATGACCAGGAGAAAAACATTATACACAGAAAGATGTTTAAACTCATCCACTACTGAATCATTTTTCATATAAACAAAATGTTAAAATGGGTGTGTGTGCGTGTCTGTGTGTGGTGAGGACAGAAATGGTTCAGCCTCTTAAAATAAGCTGCAAAGTCAGTAAAGTCGCTGTCATGCTCTCTGTGTTTTTCTCTGATGTGCAGATGCGGACTCGACTGCGCGTCTCTTTCTCTCTCTCTGTCTCTCTCTCTCTCGTCCGCCAGTTTGTAAACTGAGCACGGTTCATAATAACATAAAGCGTGCATGTGTTGTATTACGACGTTATGTACAAGAGGTAACCGTGCCGGCCAGCGTGGGAATGGCGCAGCGAGGGAGCAATCGTGCTCGGAGTACAGCACGGTACAGATGACCAGTGTGACCGTGCCCTTAATATCCTTGGACTCAATTGAATTCTTTGCTACATGAAGCTTTAGGGGTCTTTCAAAATAAACCGACACTCTGATCTCTATTGTGTTTACTTTAATGACGCAGACCTCCATGAGCAGACAAAAGTATCCATGTATGTTTGCAGTGCTGCCACAGACATGTTTTATAACAGCACTGTGGGAAACAGAAAGGGGACACATAAACACTAACATGGGGCATGACGGCCTGGCTTCAAGGATGATCACCTTTTGTCCCTTATGAAAAGCAGTTCAAACTAAACACCTACATCTTTTTAAATAGTGATAAAAGAAACAAATCAGTTGACAGACCTACTCATACATAATCAGGAATTTTTTTTTAAAAAGGCTGATCTCAACTTCCCTAAATCAAAAGTTGGGTCAGCCTCCATTGTCCAGCCAACAGTCCAAAAACCAAAGACTCTTAATTTCACTTACAGAAGTCAGCAAGTTTTTACATTTCTGAAATGATAGTCATAAAAATATGTCCCCCTGATCACCACCTTTGTCTTTTCCCTTTTTAAGCCTATTGTGACAGCTTTTAATTTAGAACAAAAATTGTTTCGAAAAATCTACTTTGCACTAAACTGACTGTGATGACAGTCCAACGAGGTGAAAGACAGAAATTCAAACTCTCCTTAAGGGCTGTTTGTTTCCACACAAAGCATTAACAATGAGATAGTTCTGGCTTAACAATGCTCTTTGTTTCTGATGTGATAATTAAAACAATAACACACACAAATAAAAAGAACAGCAACGTGAAAATTAAACAATGTACTACAGTGAAGTGGCAAAACAGCATTCAATTTCCTTTGCAGCATTGCAACAGGCCAACTGTTAGCACAACACATTTTCTACTTTCTGAGCGGACATTAACTGATTTCTTTTCTGTTTTCAGTTATCATTGAAGACGAGATCTGAGGAATCAAGCAGCAAAAACCTCAAAATCAAGACCAGTAACTGTGTCAGACACACAGATATACAGAGAGGTTCCATCCTAAGCTACTTCCTGTCTGAGACAGGTAAAACACAACTGAAGGCTGGACTGCAGAGGACAGTCAATCTGAAATGCTGGATGTTAACTCTATTGTAAACTATTTACTGTAAAAGCCAAAGACACTTGAGGATCAATATTCAAAAACCAGACTACAAACACCTATAAGCCTACTTGTGTAGATAAGCTGTTAGTGTAGCGGGCCTTGTTAACCAAGATGGCTGACCCCTACCAAAACAACGTATACCACCAAGGAGGGGGCGACCGCTATGGGACCTACGGAGAAGGCGGCGGCCATGACGGATACGGTTACCAGACAGACTACCCTCCGCAGGAAGAGGATGCAGCCAGCGATGCTACTGAAGGACACGATGAAGAAGATCAGATGTACGAGGGAGAATATCAGGGGATCCCACATCCGGACGAGGTGAAGGCTGCACAGAGAGCTGCGCGGTGAGACACAAAGTTTTACGTACATGCAGAACATAGAATATCACAACTAATGTACGGAACCAGTCTTATATGAATCACCCTAAAAATCTATTGTAATGTCCAGATTGAATTGGATTTTTAAGCACCTTGATGATGAAATTAAATTATTTAAGGACCCTACAAAATGTCTTGCCCTAATATGCTGAAATCAAATATCCAGTTATTGAATTAAAAAAACAAAGAGATTATCTTCTTGTTTAAGGGCTTGTAATCCCTCATAGTGACAAGCTAGGACTAAACCTTTCAGTTAGAAGTGTTGACTCATTTACACTCCTGTCCATCTTTATTTTCCCCTTTTGTTCTCAAAGGACTAAAAGTCACACAGCTGGCACTGCAGGCTCTGACCTTGCGGAGTTATCTGAACAGTATGAGGACATCATGGAGGACTGTGGACACGGGAGGTTCCAGTGGACGCTCTTCATAGTGCTTGGCCTCGCTCTGATGGCTGACGGCGTCGAATGTTTTGTGGTCGCCTTCGTTCTACCTTCGGCAGAAAAAGATCTGTGTCTGTCCAATGGAGAGAAGGGAATGTTAGGTAAGGGCTTTCATGATTTATTGTTGCCTACAGAGACTTTTTGAGGAGGGATTTGTGTTTTGTGCTGCTGTCAGCAGATCAGAAGTTGTGTTCTTGATGTGTTGATTCTCAGCGGTCGGCCTAAAGCTGCCTGAGCACACAAAGTGAACTCTACTTTCTTCTGAGGATCTGACAAAGAAACACATCAAGTCGATGCTTCAAACCACACATGATCACTTTCATCCAGGAATTACGTGACCTACATTAAGCAGAGAATTTGATTTAACAATCAGAACTCAAAACAGTGTTTAACTTAGTGAGGATACAATCAAAATGACACTAAACATCCAGAAATATTGATTAAATAACCTCAACTGTAGAAGGAATCAGATATTTATATCATACCCACCTCTCATTGAAAGAAAACAATATGTCATATTGTCAGGGGAGGGTTGCATGAAAGGCTGTAAAAATATTCACAACCCCAATAAAGTTTACATTCTACTTAAATGAAATCAGAGTATTCACTTAAAAAGTGCTCGCATATCTTGATAGGTAAAGATGTAACGTGTTATGAACTGGTGTCGTGACGTTCCATACAGAGCAGGACTAGCATGTGTTACACGTGAAACTATGCTCAGAATGGTGAAGAAAAAGAACAGGTACAGGTTTTTAGGTCAACATATTTGTGGTAAATTAGTGCACCATCTACAGCATGGTGCAAGGTCGTTTAGGGCATGTGTGACTACATTTTCTAGTTTAAATCTGGCAATCTTGGTGCAGTGAAGCGCATGGCTTATAGGGGTTGTATTACTGTAAGACTCTTGAATATACACAGGTTGAGCACCAATCAGATTGTCAGCTCTCATTTCCTTTAAAAGGGATATCTTGGATTGTTTGATGTTGGGTTGTACGAGGTTTTTGTCAATAGTAAGTGTATCAGCCAGTTTGTTTTAGCATGACTTCAGTGCACCACATATGTCTTCCTTTGATCAGCACCCTGGGTCTATGGGTGCACGAGTCAACTCTGATTTTGCCAGGTACATTGATAGTTATCATTTGAATTTTGATGTCACTGCATCCCAGGTTAAGATTTTTTTGAGCAACAAATGTTGAAATGTTATTTGGCTGACATAAAGTGAAAGCAGTAGATTGTTTTTCTAACCCTTTTCTCCTGTTGACAACAAACACATGGCGTAGTTTGATAAGTAAGCTTGTGTCGGCCCATGGGTTTTGTTATAATGCAATTTTTTTTTTTAAATGTGCAAGACCAAATTTACTTTAGAGACAAATTTCCATTCGGCTCTGCTGATTTAATTTCTGAATATTAAAAGAAGGTTCATAAAACAGCAGCATTCAAAACATCATGAAACTCAGGCTGGTGAATGATGCAGACTGCAGTCATGTGTGAGCTGCTGCATCTCTCTCTATCCCCTCACAGTCTCAGCAGATGGCTGTTCAACACGAGTCATAAGCTTTGTGCCTCTTAAAGGCAGTTTTTCCTTGCCACTGTAACTTTGCTCAAAGTTGCTAAGTGCACATGATGGATAATTTTGGGTCTTTATAAATAATATAACAAAGAGTAAGGTCCAGACCTTGTTACGGTTAGTACAAATTCTGGACCCAAAAGCACGACTCAGATAGGCAGGATGAAGTTTACAAAAAGGTTTATTCCAAAGGTGAGTCAAAAATTGCAAGGAGGAGGGGTAGTGTGAGGTTCCAAGTGGCAGTGTCCCAGCGTGGTGTCCAAAAAGCACAGGTGAGGTGAAGCAAAAACACGAACAGCGATCTGGCGCAAGGCAGAGAAGAAAAACGGGGTTAGCTACACAAGCTATAACAACGAGCACTAGAATCCAACGAAGCCCAGCGAGTACAATACCACACGAGCTGGTGAAACAATCTGGCGCCGAGGTGAAGCAGAGGGAAGTCTTTGTAGTCGAGATCCTGATGACCAACGAGCTGCACCTGGCGCCGCCTGGGAACATGAACCCACCACACTCACACAGACAGGGGAGAGACACATGAGGATTAAACAGACAGGGAATGACAAACAACACCACAAAAGGAGAAGGGAGGGCTGCCATGATGTGAATCATGACAGACCTGCTCTTTTTGTAAATTGTCTTGGGATAATGTTTGTTATGAATTGGCCCCATACAAATAAAGATGGATCGATTGATTGGTGTCCTTTGATTTAAAGATACCGTGTGTTAGTGAATCTTTCCAGAGCAGATTGATCACATTTTAATCACATTTTAATTCATGCTGTGTCACTGACAAGTTCTACAAGATTAATTAGCTCCTATATAATTAACTCTCTCATTATAATAAGCAAAGATTAGTACAAACTGTGTTAAATGATCCAGTATTATGTCAATTTGAATTTTTTAATGGCATTGAAAATAATGATGAGTCAAAAGCTCTGCTTTTTCTTCAGTCTTCCCAAGCCCCAGGTGTTAAACCTGGACCGCCCCCCTCCCCCAGGTTTCCCCTGCATCATGTCCTGAGTTCCCCTCAGTTTTCTTTGTACACACTCAATGGTACAAACATGCTTGATGTGACCCAGCTTAGGCCATATTACATCATTAAGTCTGCAGTGCTGAGGGACCTGATGTCAGGGCTAACTTTCACTCCGCTCTCATGCTAACAGCTTTCCTTGTGAATGTTGCACAAACGGAAGGAGCTAATTTTAAATTAAAGGAGAGCAAGAAAACAGAAGGTTAAAGCCACTGAGGATTACTGGGACTATTCAGCAGAACAATGTTTAACTGCAGTATTGACATTTTTGTTTAAACATAAATAAAGTTACAACAGAAAATGATCTTTTTCAGAACTGTTTCATCTTCTGACAAATATTCAGTTTAGTTTTCCTTATATTTATGGAAAGAAATACAAAGATTTTGCAGATTTTACTACAAATCCAATACAAAACCAAAGTCCCAGTGGTCTGCCCATCGATTCATGTTTTTTACTAACTTTTGAACAATTTTAAGCTAGTGGGAGAGAAGTTCCTGTTCTGATGATCTTTTAAAGCCCTGTGAGCAAAGTGTTACCTCGCATTTCTGAAAAATGTCATCCTGCTGTCTTCAGTTAAAGTTAAAGTTTCCAACACAATAAATCTTTGTCATGGGGAAAAAAGGCTGTTTCAGCAGCGTGTTGTCAATTGCCTCATCTGACACCTTGCAGATGGCAGCAGCGACTGACATTTAAAAATACCTAGAGTCTTCTAGATAACTGTCTCATCTGCTTTTAAATTTCATTCTGTTTAATGACCAGCTCTACCCAGGACCTTTAAAGGTCACATATTGTGCAAAATACACTTTACCGTGATTTCCTAACACTGTAATGTGTCCCTAATCTGTCTACAAACCCCCCAATTATGAGGAAAGTCCACCCTCTCTGTCTTTTGTCTGCAAGGTGTTTGCTTTGCCCTCGGAGTCTGCCTTCTCACCATAAACAATAGGGCATGCTGCAAGATAATCCAAGCCACCCAAGTCCTTCCAGAGAGTGGCGTGGTCAGACACAGCTCATTAGCATTTAAAGCTACAGACACAGAAACCGCCTGTTCTGAGCAGGGCTGAAAAAGAGGGGGTTATAAGCATGATCAAATACAGGATCAGATTGGAGTTTTGGCAAGAAACTTCACAGACATGTTTTGGGACCACTGAGACTAATTTAAACAAGGTGAAAAAGCAGTATAATATGTGACTTTTAAAGCTATATGATAATATTATTAGTATGTCGTGAAGAAAAAAACAGTGTAACTAGTGACATTGAAGACGAAATGATCAATACGAAAATGACTTATGTTGGTAAATGAGTAGAAATTATTAAACAAATGTTATTAAAATACAAATATTTTGTACAGTGTTAATTTTTACGAGAACAAATCCATGGAGTGGTTAAATCAATGATTACAAGTCCAATATCCAAAGAGTTTTATTCTTCACTGGAAACAAAAACAAAAAAGGTTTTATAAAAAAAGCATCAACATTGTACTCATCTAACACATTTCGCTGGTCTGTTAAGAGCTTTTTCTCCTCAGTTTCACTGCAGTTTAGCGTTGTTATACTGTAGCTTCAGATACCTGAGGATCTGATATGAAACAGCACAAACAGATCCTCTGATTTTCAGGGCAGCACATTTACAAACGATCTTCTGAAGTTCTCTATCTCTTTTGTTCCTCTCCTGCCTCACACCTCCTCAGCTCTCCCACCTGTCCTCGCTTTGGCCCAGAGCTGTGTTTTCATCAACACTGTTTTTCTTGGTTTGTGCTCTGACTCAGCAGACAGCGTCAGAGTGATCGATTATCTGCAACCTGACCTTGGAAAGCGCTGAACAGCATTTGAGAGGACAAAGATTTAAAGATTTATAGCGACCCCTAAAGGACCAAAACGTTAAAAATCTTATTATAATGAAAAAGTACATGCGCATTTTAGAGTAAATGACGTGTGCTCTGTTAATTATTCAGATAGGGATTTTAAATTTGAGAGTCAGTATGAATGTCACACAGTCAGCTCTCCCCTGTTGCATGGCCATCTGCCTACTGGAGTGTGATGGTGCCAGCATCCCGGTCTCTGGCAACAGTTAAGGTTACACACGGCGGAGGCAGAAGCACAATGCTTACCAAGGTCTTAAAATTTCTTGGCCAAAAAAAAAAAAATGAACACAGTGTACTGTCATCAGTGTAGAAAAGTTAACTTAATGTGAGAATAAAACAAATGACAGGTGTGTGTGCACACACTCCTGTCACACACTGGGGTTTAATTGAAAATCCTCCTTTTGGTCCGCTTACTGGATTGAGTGTCTAAAAGGAGCAGAACAAAATGTATCTATTTCCTCATAGTATGATGTCTGAATTACAGGTTAAGGTACATTTTTTTGTACCTGTAGGTAAATTTGGTTGCAGGGAGAGTCACTTAATACAACACAGCTAAATATAAAACACACAAAGTGCAAATGCACAGTACATGGGTTACTTCTAGATACTTAAAAGCTTTATAGTTGCAAGGATAGCTTAATTCAGCCTACCATTGAAATGAGCTGTGTGAGCTGCAATTCATTCCTTGGGGTACTGTAAATATTAATGGACGAAGACTGAGTGAAGTCACCAATCTGTTTCTGCAGGGGGCTGGAGTCCCATGGACGACTGTTGTAATGCTGGAAATGCTGTCTCATCCTAACTTTCAGTCAACCTAACGACAGGCTAAGAGCTGAGGCGGGTTTTAAGTTTCCTGACAAATCAATCTGGTCATCTCCGTGCCTTATTTGGAATAATGCTTATCCTTCATAAATTCAAAGCAGACAAGTTTTTGAGAAATGTACGCCTTGTACAGTATGTGCCGATCGATAATCTGCTGTAAAAAGAAAATAGCTTTTTTGAATGAGGCGTGTATGTGACTCCCTGTGCTTTTGCAGCCAGCCTCTAGTGGACACCAGTGGCGATTCTAGAGTCTGTTTGGGCCCTAGGCAAAAATCAATTGGGGGGCCCTCCAACCAGCGTTCATCACCATAATGTCTGCCAGCCAACACTTACTCCTCTTCCTCTTTTTTCGCTCCTATTGACGGCTAATTCCTCCACATTTTTCTCGTTGACCTTCATTGACAAACTTTGGTTTTCACATCAATAATACATGCAACACTTAGCAGGGCAACAACAGTGAGTGTTGTCAGATGGGGTACCCTTAGGAAGGTTTCCTACAGTCATTGTAAAATTTGCACATTTCGTGGCACTGCTTTGGTTTAAGTTTGTCAGCTCTCATTGGCCCCCTATTGGTCTCGGGCCCCAAGCAGTTGCGTGACAAGCAGTGCCCCTGGTGGACACTTTATGATCTTTGAATCAATCTACACTCTTTATTAAATAAACTAATGCGTCCAAAGTGCTGCTAATTAATGGCTTTAATAAATAAAAAGGTTATATGGTTCTCAGAGCCAGAATGTTCAAAGATTTAGAAAGAAAATAAGAACAGCCCATTCTTATGAATATTTCATCAACGTACAACTGCACTGAATGTGACTGAGCCAATGTGTGTGAGCCCAACTTGGTTTCTCTTTCTTCCCTCTGCAGGTCTGATGGTCTTCCTCAGCATGATGGTGGGAGCCTTCTTGTGGGGCGGTCTGGCAGACAAATTGGGCCGTCGGCGCTGTTTGATCGTGGCGTTGGCCATAAACTGTATCTTTGCCTTCCTGTCTTCCTTCGCTCAGGGTTACGGCTTCTTCCTCTTCTTCAGACTGTTATCTGGCATCGGGTAAAGCTCTAAGAACACACACACTAGTCCTTTAGTGAGACAACTGATGATTTCAAATACAGCACATCTACAGCACACATAATGACATTTGTATTATTATTATTATTATTATGAAATTAATCACATCTTTTCATTAAACTAAAAAAAATTTTTTTCAGTGAATCAAACATCATTGAAACATTTCAGGAATTTGTTTTTGTTGGTGGGGGGGGCTACCTTTAAAAACAAACAGCACACAAATCCTGCTCATTTGCCCTGAAATTTGAATTTTTAACTCTGTATGTGCTTTTCTAAAGACTGTAGTAAAGTACTCTCTACACTGCCAGTGATTTGAATTTTAAAACAGGCAAAATTTGTGTTCTTATTTGCATACTATGCTGAGACATACACACAGAGACCATATAGTCCTGATTCTTTTTTCTGCACTAAAGCTATAAACCTGAACAACATCCAACCATTGTGATTTAATGGGCCTGGGGTTCCAGTTAACTCTCATTAAGAGATATCAATGTGCAATATTTACCACTGAAAACATTATTCTTATTCAGCAGCTTCAAAGACGTTGTATGTCCCATATCATATTTCAGCCATTAATGCAGTTTTTTTTTTAATATGGAGATTATCCAACAAATCAAACTCCGCATCACCAGAGTGTGGATAGTGTTTCATCGCAGTGATACAGCAAAGTGTTTCTCAGAATAACTGTGGTCCCTTGGGAGCCTCGCTGACTCAGAAACGAGGTCACATACTGAACACAGCGCAGTGGAAGCGATGCATAGTTTGCAGCAAAACACTGCTCGCCTCATAGGTAGATAATTCAGCATGCACAATCTCTGTATCTGCATATAACAGCCCTGCCGTACATGGACAAATATGAGTGCTTTATCGTGTGTTCTATCAAAATTTACACCAAAAAATCATTTTGTATAACCTCTGAGGGGAACAAAGAAACAATTCATCACATACAAATTAAATTAGGTGATATTCTGGTCTTTTTTAAAGCTGGATCCTACTGTTATTTATTTGCTTGTTTGTTGGATGGTTTATATGTCTAACACCTAAAACTAGTTTCTGATCTGCTCAAGTAGTTGTAATGCTGCAAAATAATCTTTAAAGAAAATGGAGAAAATTTTAAAAAAATTTCTTCAGAGAAAATCCACTCACAGTGTGCAGTACTTTTGACACTGACAGGTTAAAAATGTTATTGTAAGAGTTACAATGAGTTGTAACTTTTTTTAATAGCGTGATCACTTTATAACTAGAATCAGCATCTAAAATAAAATCCCCTAAATTGTAATTTCATCTTGCATAACACAGTAGTTGCTTTTCCTACCACTGATTTAATCAGAGTGTTTTATTTTTTTCATTTTATGCTGTGTAGGTTATCAGATAGGACAGCTGAAAAGAGACAGGAAGTGTTGGGAGGAGAGAGTGAGGGATAACACGCAGCAAAGGGAAAAGGTTGGATTAGAACCCATGGCCACTGCGATAACAAGTTGAGCCTCCAGACGTGTGGTGCGCAACATACCCACTAGGCTAACGGCGCCCCACCACAGTCAACCATTGACTAACAACTAAATGAGGCAGTGACAGCAACAACTTCTGTAACTTATTTGTTTTTGTCAACAGAGTCTGGTGACTTAAAGAACTACTTAAATAACTTTCTATTCTCTTAAAAAAAAGAATATATATGTAAGTGTTATCTTGTAGCCACTCAAGGTACTTTGTTTTGGAGCATTTCCCCCATAAAATGATTTTGCTGCTGTCACAGCCGGTTTTACATCCTCCATATGAAGCAACTTTCTAAAACTTTGAGCAGTCAGTTAAATCCTTAACATGTAAAAACAGCTCTACCCCTTTATCTTTACTAATGCTTGCTTGCTGCATTTAGTTAAAACCTGACTTTTGGTGTAAACATCCTAACAGAATTGTTCTTTAGTAGAGGTAGAGTCATGAAAAGAATGTATGTTTTCTGCTATATGGTCAGAAAGTTCATCTTTTTTCTCGAAATCTTTTTCCAGTGAGAACAACTTGTTTTTATAATTGTTGTGCTTGTGTTGCTATATTGCTTGTGTGATTATATCTATATACATTTATTTTCCCTCCATTGTTATGTGTCTCCTCGGTCAGAATCGGAGGCACAGTGCCGATTGTGTACTCGTACTTCTCAGAGTTTCTTCAGATGGACAAGAGAGGAGAGCATCTGTCCTGGCTGTGTATGTTCTGGATGATTGGTGGGATCTACGCCTCGTTCACTGCGTGGGGAATCATACCCAGATATGGTAAGAAACCTAAAAAGTATATACAGCTTACAAACAACAATTTAAGCATGCTTTCAGGATGTTTGGCAGGAAAAAAATGCCACTTAAACAGTTTTTTTAAAGGAAATCTCAATCAAAAATGAATTGGCATTTATATATTATATTATGACTGATATGATGTGTTGTGTACAAGACATTCTGATTACTTAGTTATTTGTAGTTGTTTGTATATTTTGACAGGGACAGTGTACAGCCTTTTAGCTGTACCAGAGTTAGTTATAAGCTAATTTACATCTGTATTTGTAGTATAGGCTGCAGGTGACTAGAAATAAAGGTTGATGGTGCTTACTGGTTGTCTCACAATTGGCCATCTTGAGTTTCTGCTCTCTGCTTCATTGCTTTTCTTTTTGCACTAGATGAATTGAAATCAGGAAGACTGAGCAGGTTTCTCAACAACAGGCTCTGTGTTTTAGGGATTAACGTTGAGTCTTTTAAAAACTTTACAATTACTGTGAATGTTAAGGAATTTAAATTGTGGCAAAGAAACATGTGTTTCTTTTTTGCATTCACAGGCTGGGGGTTCAGTATGGGCACTGAGTTTCAGTTCCACAGCTGGCGGGTGTTTGTTCTGGTTGCGGCTCTTCCTGCAATCTCCTCTTTGGTTGGACTCACCTTCATGCCTGAGAGCCCACGCTTCCTCCTGGAGGTGAGACTGCACAAATGTTTACCACAGACCACAGATGAAATGGTTCTGAGGTACTCAATAAACCTGAACCATCTTATATGGACGCAAATGATGTTGTGTCTATGTTGGTGTGTGTGTGTGTGTGTCGAGCAGAATGCCAAACATGATGAGGCGTGGATGATCCTGAAGCAGGTCCATGACACCAACTGGAGGGCCAAGGGAAAGCCTGAGAAAGTCTTTACTGTGAGTACATGGAGCAACTGAATAGCAGAGAAGAACGTTTTCACTTGGATAAAGTTTCAGGCAGCATTCACAATTTTATCGTAATATCTATTAACAAAAGTATTAGAAATGGAAGCTTCAGCCTGACATGTGGCATTAGTACAGTATGTTGTTTTTTTCAGTCCTTTGTCAGAGGATGACATAATCTATCATATAATAGATTAGTTTAGTGTTTTAACCTCAAACTTGTGCTAAAGCATAAAGACTTATGGATCTGTTTTATAAAAGCAATATCATACTTCAGGGGGTGCTGTTGTACTAAATACCAGCACAGCAGCATCCTTGACAAAACCACAGCACTGCTGATACTCAGTACAACAGCACCTTGACTGTGATTTTGCTTTTATAACACAGTTCAATAAAGGGCGTGTATTTGCAAACATTAAACATATATTGTTCACATAGTGCCCTTGTGATATCTTGATTCTAACGCTGATGGCTGCTTCTGTTGCTCCTGTCATCACTGCTACCTCCTTATGTTGGAGAATATTTGGTATTATCAAACTCTGTTAATGTGAACAGCTGTGAATGAGTTCTTTAGCTATTTCTAATATTACTAATATTACAACTTGAGCTGTTTAGGATTTGTGTTGCGAAGAATCCTCCTGAAGTTTGACATTTTGGATGTGTTTTTTTTAAGGTGACTCACATCAAGGCTCCAAAGACTGCAGAGGATGAGTTTATTGAGATTCAGGCGGCTACAGGAACAGCTGTACAGCGGTGGGCAGTGCGCTCACTAACACTCAGTAAACTGGTACGTAAACACTCCTAACACAAGAGAGGAGCGGTGCTGGCAGTGTGTGGGTTCAGTGGTTAAGACTGTGGTTAGGACTGAAGCCTCAGAGGAGGGTGTATGTGGGTTTCTTTTCTTGTTTGCCTGTCTCCCTCCTCTCTCCCTGAGAGTAGCAGACCACAGGAACAATACAAATGTTTTCTTCTTTTAATGAAGTGAGTTTACTGTTTCATTCTTGGCGGGGGGGAGCTGTGCTCAGTGGTAAAGTCCGTTTGTTAGTGGTCAAGGGTTTGATTCCCCAGCTCCTGTAGCCACATGTCCAATGTGTGCTTGGGCAAGACACTCAACTCCAATTTCCTCCCGCTGCTTTGTCAGTGGTGTGTGAATGTATATGGGATTAATTAATACTGATGGTCACTTAGCAACCTCTGCCATCAGTGAATGGGTGTGAATCAAGCAATCTTGAAAAATGAAGCCAGTGCGGAAGTGCAAAATCCTACAGTTCGTCGAGTGTTCGCTTCACGCTGGCTCCATAAACACCAGAAGTCACATTCACACTAGAGGCAAAAAAAAGCTGTTTTTACAACAGAAATTAACATGTTTACAGTCTGGTACTGGTATAGGTCTGATTAGGGGGGGGGGGGGGTTGGGGGGGTATTAAAAAAACGATAAGTTTTATTCATAGTTAGGCACGTAGCTGACATGGTTGACGGGTGAACGCGATGTAACGGTTCGTCAAGAGGCTTAAAACTCGCCTCAGCTCCAGCTCTCAGCCTGTCATTAGGTTGACTGAAAGTTAGGCTAAGACAGGATTTCCAGCATGGCGGCTGCAGCCTCCAGAACCCCCTGCAGTAACAGAGGGCTGGCGTCACTCAAGCTTCGTCCATTAATATTAACAATCTATGTATTGTGGCTATTTGTCCAAAAAAAAAAATTAAGTTAAAAATTATAAACAAACCACACAAATTCAACAAACAGCCATTGACGCACCGTTCCAGTGAGGCCTTACGCAGGCAATAAGTTCAATGTCCAGTCGGGATCTCTTGTTTCTTCATTTAATAAAGACATACAAACATTTCCATTTGCATCCATTCGCCTGTCTCATTGACATGTGGTAAAAAAAACCTGTGTCCCTTCCTGGTGCATCACCCAACAGTGACACACCTGGAACATTTAAAGGGTTCCTAATCAACCCATGTGCTTGGCAAGGTGCCCACTGAACATTGGTGTTCACAAACAACAAAAACAAATGCAAAACAACAAACAACCAGAAAATGGCTGCTACACTATGGCATGAGTGTGCAAATGTGACCTGTGGTGTAAAAGGGCTATGAGTAGCCAGATTACTAGAAAAGCTACACAAGCTAAAGTCCATTTAGCATATTCCGTTCTGCCAGTACTTGCCTTGATTGTCTCATAAGCTATATCCATAGTTGTGATGCCTTTTCTCATATTGTCTTTAGGTTATTGTTAGCTCAGGGAAACATGTTTTTAATCCGACACATTTGGACCAGTAAGTTTTCAACATATTCATGCATATGATGTATGACGTCATTCACTCACTGTGGGCATTTTCATCAGTGTGAGGAAGAATTAGATTAGCACTGAGCACATCCACTGAGTGTCCCTAAACACTATCTTGACTGCCATTAAAATTTACTTGCCAGTAACCTTACGAAGGAAGGATAACTGAAGCTCTTTTGATGAGACAAAAAACATCTTTAGCATGACAGCTATAGTCACAGGTTCAGAAAGACTGACAGGATAACTACTGCCCTTTCAGCAGCACATCGGTGAATTGACTTACATACAGCCAAATGACTAAATTCAAACACGTGTTTCAGTGGTACTACATATTAGTTTAAGCATTTCAGTTAGGTGATAATGAGTGTAACAGAGCATAAACAAGGGTCTTTGTAAGTGAACTGTACCATTGGCCTTGAAAATGTAAACACACTCTCACCTATAAGGTTCTTACAAACTCTTACAAACACAAAGGAAATGTCTGTTTTTTCCTCCTTTCTAATCAGTTTTTTTCTGCTCGTTAGAGGCAAGACCTACTCCTCAAAACAAGAATGCTTGAAAAAATAACATTGACCTGTCCCTATTATTAGACATAGCTGGCCTGTCTTTTTTTATTTGACGTTTCATCAAACTTTAAATCATTTTTAGCTTCAACAAAAATATCCAACTTTATAAAATAACCTGCATGTCAAGTCACGTTGCATAAAAGTGCAAGTGTTTGAACATTGCTGACCACGATTGCAATTGCAAGTTGATCAAGGTGTCCTGTAATATTGTTGAATCTCTACAACACTGGCCTTACAATACATACTTTCATCGATTAAGGTGAAGAAGAAACATATTTTGTTCTGTTAAAATCTAGACCGACTTGGTTTCTCAGTTCACTGTTTGTTTTCAGGTGTTGAGGAACGTGGCATCTCTCCTGTCTGCAGAGCTGAGGATGGCTACTCTCTTCATGGCCATCATTTGGTTCTGCATGGCTTTCAGGTGAGCCCAAGGTGTCGTTGTTTGCACCACTGTCTGCTGGGTAAAAACAGCAGTTACACATATGATGAGAAAACTGAAGAAATGTGAAATAAACACGATGGATCTAAATAAGCCAATAAATCAGATTACATGGATGCTATGTCAGCCTGCTGGGAAAAAAAGGACAACTGGGCCCACATAATCTTTTATACCTTGAACAATCTACTTCCCATTGAGGTCATCTCTCTGCAGTATTTTTTTTCAGCTGCAGCTTCACTCTGGTTGCTCTATGTACTTTTATGTCTAATGTCTTGTCTTCTCTCAATCTAAAATCTTCACAGTTACTATGGTCTGTCTGTTTGGTTCCCTGACATGATCAAACACCTTCAGAATGAGGAGTATGCGTCCAAGGTCAAGGTAAAGAGAAGAATGGCTATTTGTCCTGATCTGCAAAAAAAAAAAAAAAAGTTTGAATATTTTCAGTTAAAAAGTACTTGCAATGAAAATATAATATAATATATATATATATATATATATATATATATATATATATATATCTATATATATATATATATATATCTATATATATAGATATATATATACTGTAAATATATTCTTTTGTCTGTTTTCAGGTTTTCCATAGAGAACGAGTGGAGAACTTCCATTTTAACTTTTCATTAGAGAACCAGATCCATAAAGAAGGGGATTACATCCGTGACAAGTAAGTCTCAGAGTGTCACCTTCTGGACACAAAGAGTCGTAAGGACTTTCAAATGCAAAAACAGCTCATCAGGTAGCTATGTCCAAACAAAGAACACCACTCTGTATTTGTAACTTCACTGACAAAACAAGACAAGATTTTATGTAATAGTGAGTGCTTAAACATCTTTCATTCATTGTGCACAACATTACCAACATTTTCTAACTGAAAGTAGTCAGCACTAAGAAGATGGGTATACACCTCAGCCTAATTCTCATAAGAAACCAATGTCCATGCACAGTTTGGAAGAGGATCCCTATAAACCGGTGCTTTCAATCATTTCATTCTCAGTTATGTTGTTATCAGAAACTGTCTTTGCATGCTTTACTTTGTTGCATGTGATGTTGTATTCATAAAACATTAGCTATATGTCTACAGGTTATCACTATATTGCATATGCTAATGGGCAGAACAGAAAACCATTGAATGACATTGTGAAGACAGTAAACCTAATAGAGGTTTATAGAGGCTTCACACTTTTCTCTTTATCTCTAGTGTTGGATATCATTAGCAGTATACATGCGTATGACAGAGGTTTTCTCCGGATTAAGTTGGTAAAGATACACCCCTATATTTTGTTGGAGCACCCTTAAGTTTCTTTAAATTCAACGTTCGGAAAATAACTAAGCATGACTATGAATGCAGCAGCAGAAGGACATAAGCCTCACAACTAGTTTAGACCTAGGATGAGTTTGTGAGTTAGCAAGATTATGTAATGAGTGATGGGTTGAAGGTTGCAAATACTTGCAAACCGATGAAGACCTTGCTAGGATGTATTTACTGCTGAAATGGGTGCTCTGGTGCTTGCTTTACATTCAATTTTCTGAAGATGTTTTTTGGGCCATTTTTGCCTTTATTGGATAGGACAGCCAAAAAGAGACAAGAGAAGGGAGGCGAGAGCGGGGGATGACTTGGAGCAAACAGCCAAGTCGGTTTCAAAACTCTGGCTGCTGCGACACGGATTATAGCCTCTGTACATGGGACATAACGGCTTGGCTATTCGGCGACCCTCTATTCTTTAACCAGATACTGGTGACAAGACAAAGTTGAGTTGGAGGTGACGATATAAGCCGGCATGATTTGAGCCAACAAGTTCTCAGAACAACTGGTTGTCTGCACAACCCAGTCCACGGAGGTTGCTTAGCTTTCTTGTCAGTTCTTTAGCTGGATTCCCAAACAGCCCCCCTTTCAAACATCTAAACTATCCCTTAAAGAAAGTAGACTTTGCATAACCATTTTCTTCTATCTCCATTCACGGATTCTGCAAAAAAAAAGACAAAATTGTGTGTATCCAAGCAAACAGGACAACAGTCCATGTAGAGAGCAAAAAACCCTGAAATGTATCGAACATATTACTATTCATGATGCCATCTACTATGTGATGATGAAATGTTTTTTCTCTTCATGCAAGTTCAGCCAACAAACCTCCGTCAGATGTCTCTTATTTTGAAACTCCATTCCCGTTTCATCAAGTTGGACTGTACGCAATTGCAATGCACAGAGAAGGCAGTAGCTATAAGTCTTGTATCACCTGCCCGTCTACAATGGAATCCACTACCAGTGGTCAAATTGTCATCAGGTCCGACAATTTGTTCAGAGGTTGACTTTTCTTTGATGAAGATAGGGATTAAGGCATATTACAATGCTCCTTTAGGTGATGCATGCCACCCCTGTTTATAAATTCAAAGCACAGCTCAATGTTAAAGACTTTAAAACTCGTACTTCATGTATTGGTGATCTGTCCATAAAGAGCCAATGAGAGTTTGAGAAAGTAATCAGTGTTGGTCTGGAATTTTTTCCCATCTTTTTCTTGTTTTGTTGTGAAGTCTTTTGCACTATAACAAAATAATGGGGAGTATTTTTCTTCACTGCTGGGAGAGAAGGTGTTCAGTGCAGATATACAGTATGCTACTGTATATTCCTTGACTTATTAGACTTTTGCACAATTATAACACATAGAATGGGTTTTAACTTTATATTCACATGAATAGGGCTCCCATTGTATACATGGTATTGTCATTTCTAATATCATTATCAATGGAGGCCATTTTGGATGTATAACAGTTAAACCCATTTGGGACATTCTGATTCTGTGCTGCCACAACAATACAAGTGAGTCTTGTTACTGTTGGTTTGTGTGTGTGCTGCCCCATCCCATACCCATAGGTTCATCAATATTGAGATGAAGTCAGTGAAGTTTGAGGATTCACTGTTTGAAGACTGTCACTTTGAGGACATCAAGTCCACAGACACGGTGTTTGAGAACTGCACCATCCGTTCCACTGTCTTCTATAATACAGGTAGGTTCAGCTGGAGCAGGACTTTGACACAATTGTAGCACTAGTACAGAAAATAGAAGTGAATTCATGTAAGATTGAAATCTTACTGTGGCCTACAGATTAAATTTGACCCATTATCACATGTGTTTTTATCAGCAGAATGAGTTTCTTTCATCAACCATTGAGATACCAACATCTACCTCATTTCATAGAGATTTGCTTTGAATGACTTTCAACAAGAGGGTCATTTTGAGTTGAACAGACGGATAGCACAATGTAACACTAGGCTAGAGTTTGATATCATGAAGTTAAGTTTATTGTCAAAGGGTTTTTGTTGAATGCATCTTTACTATGACTACTTTTATCTGGGCAGTCAAAAGTCTGTTTGTGTTCTTATGCAGTGAAATCTGTCAAAAAGAACGGAATATTAAGTTAGCTTGCTCTGTTTCTGTTTGTTACATAAGATCTGATTAACGCATTGGAACATCTGTCAATGGGTGACCAGTAACTAAGAATCTACTTATTTAATAACATTGAGAAAAACTGCCACAACACAATTGGTAGCTTAAACTGATGAAATGTTAATCTCTCCATCTTCAAGCTAACTCATGAGACACATTTTAATGCGTTTCATTTTACAATGGACATAAAAAAAAAACTTGAAAGGTATTGAGTCATGACTAATAAAATTACTCAAAATGAGTAGGTAAAAACAATAATTTGCCTTAATGTTACCAAGCTACAAGGTATTTCTTATACAGAGGCGGACAATTGCCATGCTATCATGAGTAGCTAACTATTAGCATTTACAGTTTATTTATTATATTGATAAGTCATGTACTTTGATACATAAAAGTATCTACATTGAACACAATGTCAGAACCAACCATTAGACTTGCAAACAAACCTCCCCTAAGTTTCAAACACTTACTGTATGTCCCAGCAGAAGCTATCCCTCTTCATACTCAAAAAGGGATTCTTACATTAAAAAGACCACCCATGCAGTCTTTTGCAATCAAATACAACAGCAAGAGATCTCAGGCAGAAGTGACATGAAGACTCTCACACAGTGGCATATGCGTTCTCTCCACCTTTTCCAAGGACAAAAATCATTGTACCTTGATCTCTTTGAGAGTAAAACTTAGCAATTATGTGTGAGGCAATCGCCATAGTATTACACAGTTTTACATAGTTTTATTTCGTTTGTTTTTTGAGTCTTCGCCAGAGAAGTGTCATCAGCATATGAACAGTGACTTTCTCCACTTTGATTTTTTTCATTGTCTCTTTAGTCCAACTATAAAAAAAAAACTGGTGATGACAGCACTGAAATTCTAGCTTTGTTGTTCCGGGTCAAATGTGGGTATTGCAATATAGCAGAAGACACGTGTTACTTGTTGGTACCAGGAAGCAGCCTTGTCTCAGCGAATACATGCTGACTGGTCTTTATAGACAACTAGGCTTCTTAAAGGGATTCTTTACAAGATTCAGCCAGCATTCAAGTCTCAAAATGCCTCTGTGGCTATTCTCAACCTGACTTTTACCACATCAGCTTGTAAATAAATCCAAAACAAAGGAACACACCAAATCATATATTCATATATCTGTACGTTGTTGTACATTTCTTTAAGTAGTTTCAAGGTAATAATGGATACAAGCTTTACCAGAAGCTTTATGAAAAATGTAAGACCATCCTGATTGAAACAAACAATTAAACATTAGTTAAAACTGTGTTATAGAGAAAGAAATTACCCCAAAAAATAATTAATATAGAGGGATGTAGAGAACAAGTCATCAGCTACAGAGAAGCTGAATAAATATAACCTTGACAGATTTTTCGTTGGATCATTGCTCCAGGTTCATGGATTAACAGTTGACCCTTTCATTATGTTTTAACTTAAGTTTAAATGTTTTTCTTGTTCCTTTTTTGTAGATCTATGGGAGGAGAAATTTATTGACTGTAAGATGGAGAACACCACATTTGAGCACAACAAACATGGCTGCCATCTGGACACGTCTGAGGAGAACGATGTTCTCATTTACCTGGTCAGCTTCCTGGGCAGTCTGGCTGTGTTGCCAGGCAACATCATCTCAGCCCTCTTCATGGAGAAGATTGGCAGGGTCAAGATCATAGGTAATATTTGACAGTTTGTAAAAATGTTTGATGATATCTATTTTTACACATAGATATTGTTCCAGGCATAATTTCAATGTCATGGTCGTGTGTATGTGTACACATAAGTTGTTGTAAATACCAAAACTTGGATTGTGTATTATTTAGAAAAGCTTTGTATCACTTGGATCTTTATCTTTTTAATAACTGTTAGAGTTCTTCATGAGGGTCTTTGCTTCTGAATATCAGAATTATTCTAGAAACATAAAAAGGATTACGTTCTGCACATCAGGACATGCTATAAGAAAGAGTTAGGGTGGAAATATAGTTTTTTTCAGTTCTTACATGACTAGGGAGTGATGAAAGCTAGTTGAGGGCTATCCTTCATTCACAGAAAATAATTAAACAGACCGAACATACATCCTTAGTTATGTTCAAACTGTCCCCCTGCCCTTTAGAAGAAATTAGTCCACATGTTTCACTCAATTATCAATTCACACACATTACTGTACACTGTCATTACTGTATCAACAGTACTATGTGGGTCAGAAATAAATTGACTTGGTTTTTAGTAAAAAAAAAAATCCAGGCTTGTTATCCTGTAAAGCTTTGCTGTTACTCTGATAATATGAACCATTATGACCAAATCAAACACAGATGCTTCACACAGCCTTCACAGTGCCAAAAATACTAAAGTCTGAAAGGTCTATTTATTCATCAATAAATGTAGAAAAACTAGTTTGAACCCAGTTCATTTGCTGTTGTTAATTTGCAGCGAGGATGAACACAAAGACAAAGACTTAGGTTGTTTGGGGGCGCCGGTGGCCGAGTGGTTAGTTTGCACTCCCCATGTACAGAGGCTGTAGTCCTCGAAGCGGGAAACCTAGGGTCGAATCTGACCTGTAGGTCCTTTCTGCATGTTACTCCCCACTCTGTATTGCCCAATTTTCGACACTATCCACTGTCCTGACTCTCCAATAAAGGCACAAAAGATAAATCTTAAAATAAAATGTGTTTGTATATATTATGTTTAAATCCACTTTAAAATCTAATTTCAATATAATAAATGTCTGCAGGTACAGTTAAAATGACTATAACAGCTGGTATCTCTTGTTATTTATGCAAACAAGGTCCTTTCAGATGCTAAGTAAACAATTTGAAAAGTATCTCAATCTTTGTATTTAAAAAGTTTTGTTTTTTTGTGTAAAATAAATACATAATGATACTCTACTGTATGAATTGATGTAATCATATTATTTCCTCAGGTGGCTCCATGCTCATTTCAGCAGGCTGTACCTTCTTCCTGTTTCTGAGCTTCAGCCAATCAGCAATCATTGCCTTGCAGTGTCTGTTTTGTGGCGTCAGTGTAGCTGCATGGAACGGCATCGAGGTGGTGACTGTGGAACTGTACCCTGCTTCTAAAAGGTATAATACTTTTTTAAAGCAGCCATGTTGATACTGCAGAGTTCAAAATCAATTCAAGCCAAATGAAAAACAAAAAATGTCACGACAATACATTTTCCACCATGGGGTGGTTATTGGCAGAAAACAAACATCCTTTTATCAGTCGCTAGACATGGAACAGTAGAGGAAAATAAATCAGTATATCATTGGGAGTTTGCCAGCAGCTTAAGCAAAACACTATACTGTAACTAGTTTTTTGTAGAGAGGGTATGTGCTTCCAGACTAAACATAGTGAATGATTTCACAGAGGTGATGCATAATAAATGAAGGCTCTGCCTCCCATACTAATGCTAAAGACTTAAGGACCAAATGCAATGTTCTGAGATTATAAAAGGGAACTATTTTACATACAATGGGCCTGAGCATTAAGGGCTTTGATTGTAATTTAATTAAATTGTACTTTAGTTCCAGATGTGGCAGGAAGTGGATGCAAAGAAGTTAATATGAAACACAGTTCACATACTGCAACATTTTGGACTCGATGAAAAGTCTTAATGATGCTGCTGTTGTGGTTGAATGATAATAAGGAATTCCAGTATTTAGGCCTATAAGTGAACATTGTTTTTAAAAAAAATAATTATATATATATATATATATATATATATATATATGTTTCCCACACATAGACGATACTTGGGCGGGCCGCCAAGTAATTCATGGCAGCCAGAGTATATTTCCGACCTGTTTTTATTTATTTTTTCATTCATTCAAAAAATTGCTGCATGCACAAGAGAGCAAGCGAGTGCAAGTGGGGGAGAGAGAGCGCGTGCGAGTAAGTGCAGGCTCGCTCATGGCTCCGTGCAGCAAAACTCCTATCTCGACTCTTGCGGAGAGACAGGAGAGGCAGGAACCAAGAGAGCGAAATCACATCAGCTTCAGAGAAAGAGAGAGAAGGTCAACACATTTGATATAAATACAAACCTAATATTAAAATTAGGGCTGGGCACGTTAACGCGTTATTTTCGCGTTAACTCATTTATTAATTATCGCCAACAATTATTTTATCTCGCATTAAAGCAGTTTTTATTATTTATTTTCTTATTGTAAAAGTCTGTTGCTCACTGGCTTTTATTTTGTAAAATTCCATCGTGAGCGAGCCTAGTATGTTGCTTACTGCTGCGCATGACTGCTGCGCATGACTGCTGCGGCGCTCACAGGAAAGAGGAAACAGTCAGAAAATAATTGGCGGATAATCAAGCATGGAGAAGGGTACGGAACTTTTACATGGCCATTTTCATTTTCAAGTTCTTCTAGACGCCGCAGTCGACAGAGCCAAAGTTATTTGTAACCACTGCAAAGTTTAATTTTCTTATCACCGGAGTACTTGATAAGTACTCCAAAATATGTTGCAGCCAGAAACTCAGGCAGATGCTGAAAGGTCGTTTCACTTGTCTTCACTTTATAACTGTTTCTCACTCACAGACTCTACCTAGTGGTGTAGATTATGCAGCGCATTTAATTAATAACATGTCAACATCAACTGCTTGAATAATGTTGCAGTTCAGAAAAATACATTAACATTAGCAACTTTGAAGATGAATTCAAAAAGATTATAAACTAAAGAATTTCAAAATGACAAGTACAACAAAAATGTGTTTGTTTTAGTTTTGTATTTATTTGCCTTGATTACATTGTTTAAGTTGAGAAGTACATTTACAATAAAAGTGCGCTATACACTACTTTTGAATTCATTATTGGATTTTGCGTATGACAATGCGATTAATCGTGATTAATCACAGGAACGCGATTAAAACTTTTAATCGTTGCCCAGCCCTAATTAAAATATACCCTAAGATAAGAGTAAGACTAAAATAGGATATATATATATAAAATACGATCCTCTGCACCCCCTTGCACGTACTCCACTGCCCAGGTATCTCGTCATTTTGTGGGGAACACATATATGTATGTGTGTGTCTTTGAGAATATTTCTGGCTTTTGAATTTTACAAAAGTGTAAGGCAATCCTTTAAATTTGGTTGATGTTTGAGTTCATCAAAGATGATTCCCAATGGTAGTGCTGGAGGCCATGGGTTCTGCCATGTAGTGGCTAGAGTATTAGATTCTAAGGAGATGAAGGACAGGCACGATAACTAAGGCAACTGGGATTTGGTTTTATCTGGTTTATCAGATAAGTATAATATTATATCATCTGCATAACAAGAACATTAGAATGTCCCTGATAATAGTAACTAATGCAAGCATATCAGGTGGTCCAAAAGCAAAACTTTGTGGAACTCTGGGCCTAACTCTGACATAATTGTTTAAATGTTTAAACTGAGATCTGGGGAATATACCTGAATATGCTTTATGTGGTTACTTAAATGCCCATGATGTCTAAAACCCATATCTGGTCTCTGTTTCTCAGGGCCACAGCGTTTGGCGTGCTAAATGCTCTTTGTAAACTGGCAGCGGTGCTTGGCAGCTCAATCTTTGCCAGCTTTGTGGGCATCACCAAAGCTGTCCCAATCCTTCTGTCCTTCTGTGCACTGGTGTGTGGTGGCCTGGTGGCCCTCAAACTACCCGACACGCGGGAGAAAATCCTTCAGTGAGGTTTTTGGAGAGCAGAGGAGTTGGATTCATAAGTGGAGGGAAAGGCCAAAACACATCAGTTGAAAATGGATTTCAACTGTACTCTGCATCTTTAAAGAGGGCAAGAATGGAATAAACCTACATCTGTAAATGTTTAATGTTGCTCTAATTCTTTCATGTGAATCATTTTCATGTTGTACATGTTTTCAGCGAGTGGGGAGGGGTATGTTTAGGCAATTTAAGGAGGTAAAGGCATACACAAGTTTGGTGTTCAAATATGTGTCTCATATTTTTTATTTGCGTTGAAGAAAGTGTGATTATTTTAGGGTATGCTGAATAAACTCACCACAGGATGATGATGATGATGTGAGTAAGGAAAAATTGTTATTTTTGTATAAATCTTTGAGGCTTAAATCACATCACAACATGCTTATCTTAGCATTGCCTCTTGTCTTTTTTTATCCTTGCATGATGGGAAATGTCATAAAGAGGCCAACTGTTTTCTATGGTTGGCACCTTAAAACTTAATCTTAACATGGATAACTTATCGAAAAATCTTTGGGAAGATTTATTTCACGAAAACCTATTTTTTCACCTGTTGTTATGTAAAAAAAAATATCGAGGCACCCTGCTTTATTTTTTGTTTTTATTTTATTTTTGTTATTTCCAGCACTGGGGCTTAGAACATTTCCCTTATCAACACAAACCCAAACTTCTACATAGCTTCAGCAAAGTACTGGTTTCTGCATGGATGGTTTTGTCTTTTTCTTCATTTGTTTTTCTTGCACAGTTTGATGTTGCATATGTATTTACTGTATTACAGATGGTTTTGTGCTGCGATCGGCTGTGTAAATGGCTGCATGTTTGTCTGATGTTTTGTTCTTGGCTATGTGTCTCACATAATATGTATGTTTAAAGTAGTCTGATTGTGTTTTGTATCACAAAAAGAAACTGCAACACTTTGACACACATATAAGGATTTACAGATTGGGTGTTGGGTAAGCATTGAAAAGCTACCGAAAGGTCTTCCAAGGGGACAGCCTTAGTTTGAACTGAAAATATTCTGTCTGTTACTGCCCAATGAGGCAGATCTTCACTTCTACTTTCCTGTCATTCCCTTTGCTTCTATTAATCTTTGGCTAAAGAAACTAAAAAAATGTCTATTGTCTCAATGTTGCTTCTTTGTCTGGCACTGTTACTACAATTCTTTATTTTGAGAAAATACATGATCATATGATTTTGCAGTGATTTCTTTATAATCAGAAAAAAAAGATGAATATGTATGAAATGAAAGGAAAACAACAAAACAGTGCTAGACAAGCTTTAATTGTTTCGCATGGCCGTCAACTCTCTCTTCTCAAACACAAACATGGAAGTGTTGGTTAGAATTGGGAATGTGATACTTTTAGTATCCATGGATAAAGAACATGCAACATAAGAGCAGTATGAAGTAAAAGCATGACAAATCAACAAACCCTTTAATTCAAGTTCATAGTGAATAATGTCCTTTTGTTTAACTCACTGCCTGAGTATTGTTGCCAATATGTTCATTTTCCTTCTCAAGACACACGGAAAATTGTATTTGACTAAGGGCGCACTCACACTAGGAAAAGTTGTTGTGTACCGTGCTTTAAGCATGATTGCCCACCTTCTGCATTCCACCGCTGGCCTGCACTCACACAGGACTAATCGGACCTGAGCACTGTTAGGCTACCTCTTTCATAACGTCGTATTTTAACACATGCATGGCTTTACGTGATCATGAAGCGTGCTTAGTTTACAAGACCGTAAAATAGCAATGCCCGATTGAGTCTATGTCTGCAAATTGGACAACAAAGAGAATACTGCATTTGTCAACTTGGTGGCTTATTTTGAGTCCTAATATTTAGATACAGCCATAACACAGAATATCTAGATAATGAAGGCTTTCCACGTTGTGTACAATTACTTGTACTTGTGAATGAGCAACTGTATCATGCCGAAGCACACCTCCTCCAAGCATGCCAGGGCCAAGTAAGTGTACCGTACTTGAACACGGATCATAGCGCACACACTAGTCAAACAAACTTGGACTTTGAGGCTGAAGCGTGCTAAGGCATGGTACAGATTGCCTGCTGTGAGTGCACCCTAATAGCGTGAAGAACTTGCCAAATTCAACATGAAGCTTGTTCAGTTTAAATGTAAACAGGTCTTAAGAGAAAAAGCAATGCAAAGAGATGTAAATAAAGGCGATGTCAACACACACTTTATTTTTGTGTAATCTTCAGTATAACGATGGTGAACAGTGAAATGGGAGTTTGTATTGTCATTAACTGTCTTCATCAATTAGACCTGTTATGTGTATTGGCCACTGCTGTAAAGCAGAAATAAAAAGCCATACTTTGTTTGAATATGGCGGGGTTTTTTTTTTTAATCTTCATCTTTGTTTTTATTCATGGAGGAGAACTATTTTTGTGCAAAATGTTTCTGTTTGATATCATTTTGGTTTCTTCCTGTATGTATTTGTGTCTGTGACAAATCAGATGAATAAAATGAGCTCATCAATGCATCATCTGTTATCCAAGATATTTTTGAGACCACGCTTCCTTCACATCTTCAGCTACATTTAGACAGAGGGTCCTTATATGAAAATATTAAATCTAATCAATTAACCCAGTAACTCTGACAACTCAGAGTCGAAATCTGTCATTTGATTTACAGGATACATGTATAGTTTTTATATACAATGAGAATTTCATGGAGATACATGTAATATTTGTAAGAAATGATCATAGAAGATACAAATGATTATTTGAGCCAGTTAAACCTAGATATTATTGGTTTAGCTTTTAGCTTAGCAGAATTAGTCTGTTGTTCAAATGGCATTTCAGTGACTTATTCTGATCACAGCAGGTTTGAGGGATCTACAAAACACAGCAGAGATGTACTGTGTTTTTTGGGGGTTTTTTTACACTTTTTAACCCTCTCCAACTAAATCCAAATATATAAAATTATCTTTGTGACATCCTGCTATCAAAGGAAAGAAAATTATGAACTGTGCTCTTTTTTGGTCTTTAATTTGTATGTCTGACCGACATAATTCCTGTAAACTCTGGGTTATTTTCATTGGTAGCCAGACACTTCTCTTTCAGTTATCTGTGTTTTTTGATCAGAGAAAAACCACTTTTTTACTAGAGTTGAGTCAGCTCTGAATCCCCTATCTCTTTCTTACAGTAAGCCAGTCCAGGATATCTTGTTTGTTCTGTTGCAGCCACTTGATGTTGGCTTTAGTCCTCTCCAAAGCCTGTTTTACAGCCTGCGTGGCAGAACCAAATCCTGCTGTGCTGTGCTCATCCACAAATTCCTCCAGCTTGCAGAGTGAACATAAGAAAATATTTCAGACAACAGTTTATGACTTAGAGATTTACAGGCCCAGTAGTTACTCAATGATGACATACCTGTTGTAGCTCAGTGGGCGTAGAGAACCTTGCCGTGACTCCACTGATAATAGAAGCAAAGGAGAAGGAGCCCACACCATACCTGAAAAAACAAAACCAAACAACCCCAAACCTGTATGTCAAGCTAGTTTTGGGGGGAAGATAAAAACAAATATTTAAAAGATGGAAAATGTTAAAAAGAAGGTCCAGATAAGTCCTTAATTACACGTCAGCAAAAAAAAATCATCAAAAGGAAAACAAGGATGGACTCTTACACCATGTTTTTGCCTCTTTCCTTTCTCACATGTTTCACCTCTTTCTAATTGTGTTACTCACTGTGTGAACATGTATTCCCACTGTTCCCTAACAAAGTCCCATGCCAGACTTTGGCCCATTGTGTTGCTGGCCACAGATGTGATCACAAAGGAGGCATCCTGCTTACGTATCATAGCTGGTTTTAAGGTGTAAGAGAGATACCTGTACGAAGACAAAAGAAAGACATTCTTTCCATTATTAACTGCTAATGATTTTGTTTCTAACAAGTTTAAAATTATGAAATGCATTTTTAATGAAGAGGTTTTTTGTTTCCAATACAACAAAATAATCACATCACTTTACATGGTAGGCTTCACACCTTTCCAGCAGTTGTGTGTTGTTGGTACAGGCCAGTGCAGACATGAGTTTGCTGGCCTCGCTGGCTACAGTAGCTGTCTTGTACTGGAACCATGCAAACTCCCATTCTGCCTCGTCACCCTCTGCCATGGCGCTGCAGTACACTGCTGAACGCAGGTTAGAAGGGATCCTGAGAAGACAGGGAGGTAACTCATTGATAAACTTCAAACTGGGGAAAGGGGAAGGGAGGGACAGGGAAGAAAATGTATTATAAAATAGACAAACGGATTATGTTGAGGATTGTCCATCCATTGTTTGAACCATCCCGTTGTCAAGTTATGGCATTCGGTTAGGCCAGTCTTGCAGGCCATTTGGATGGCGTTCGCCTGGTTGTACCTGCAGGAAGAAACACACATGTTGGCTGCTCTAACAGTATTTGGTAAGTTGCATCATAACGTTAAGTGACTGTATTGGCTTGAGTTGCAATCTGTGGTTCAATAATGGTATTTGGTTGAATTGTTATATCTAAGTTGTGGTATTTGGTTGAGTGGTTCTTTCTGGTTGTTTTGATTTGGTTGACTTGCAGTAGAGTATTTGATTAAACTGCAACTTCGGTGTTTGGCTAAAATACAGCAGCAGAAAGAATTGCAGCATTTGGCTTAGTTGTTGAGCTGTGGTATACATCCATCCATTATCTATACTGCTTTTTTCCGTTCAGGGTCGCAGGGGGCTGGAGCCGATCCCAGCTGTCATTAGGCGGGATGAGGGGTACACCCTGGACTGTTCACCAGTCAATCACAGGGCAGACATATAGAAACAGACAACCAGCCACACTCACATTCGCACCTAGGGGCAATTTAGAGTCATCAATTAACCTAACCATCATGTCTTTGGACTGTGGGAGGAAGCTGGAGTACCCAGAGAGAACCCATGCATGCACAGGGAGAACATGCAAACTCTACACAGAGTGGCCCTGTCCGACAGGGATTCGAACCAGGAACCTCCTCGCTGTGACAGGCGACAGCGCTTCATTTTCTATGAACACATATTTGTCTTACATTACAGTTTGTTGAGCTCTCATGACTTGCCAGGTGAGTATACTTACTGGTCAGTGTGTCCCTCAGTAACATTGGCCCAATTTGATGTCATCTCCTTGAAGTACAGGTAGAGGGGAGTTACCAGCTTCTTTACGTAGTCCTGCAAGTATTACAGAAGTGAGTTAAGATGAGGATTTATCTGTAGTCACTGCTTTGCCTCCTTAAAGACACCGGGTTGGATGAAGAGTTTACCAGGGTTGTGTAAAAGAACATACTGGAATTGATTTTTTTAAGATCAGTGCTTTCCTTTTTTGTGCTATAATTGTTATATAATAATTATCACTGAAACACAGATAATAGTTACCTGCAAAGGCTGATAGACCTCAGTACGATCCAGCATCAGGTAATAATAGTTTAGATTATCCAGTGTAGTTTGCCAAGGCATGTAATCTCTCTCCGAAATCAGATAAGAGATTAGCCTCAGGGCGTGAATTTTATTGACCAGCTGAACCCTGCAGAAAGGGAAACACATGTTAGGAAATGTAACAAAGTTTAATACAAAGTTGGTTACAAGGACAAAAAGCATATCTATTCAGTCATGCAGTGTCAACTGAACATTTTTCGGTAACAAATTTACATGCATTCTCAGATTAAATCCTGTTTGAAATACACCTCAGAAGATGGCTTCTGGATTAATTTAGCCTGAATCTGAGCGCAGGACAGAATGTTATCTTCACACAAAACTTTCAAATTAGGTGACAAAACACGTTCATACCCGACCACAAGAGCATCGATTTATGATTTGATGACATCCTCTTCCTACAATATGGGTCCTCTAATACTGAAACAAAGCTCTTAAAACTCGCAAAAAATAACACTTGAGAGAGTTTTAAGTTTGTTGTTTAAAGGTGACAACAGAAACATGTTGGACTCTATTGGAGGAGACCTGCTCCTTCTGTAATTATAGACAGCCTTTTCTAAGAGACCCAAAATAGACCGTTAGAATTTTTGACAATGAAGACCAATGTATGAATACTCTCCAAAAAGATCACTTTGGTTGGCTAATTTTGTGTATCACTGAAAGTATACAAGTATGCTTTACTATACATTTATTTTTAGTAATGTTGTAAGAAGCCTGTTTTTAGGTTTTACTTAATCACTGACACATATGAGACCAAGCATGGAAATAGGATTTTTTATAAGCTGAAGAAAAAATCACCAAGAGTAAGCTGACTTACCTGGCCAAGCTGAAGGCATCATCGACAAGCTGGGCTCTGTTTAAAACTGGTATAACCTGCACCACAGAGTGTACATTTGCATATGATACAAAACAATCATGATACAATCTCAAATTTCAATCAATGTTATAAAGGAGAAAATTAAGATTCAAATTTGAAACATGTCAGAAGCAGTGTGATTATGTACCTGGTGATCAACTCCAGCAAGCTGGACGAAGAGCCTCTCCCAGTTCCTAGGATCGTAGTGTACCCGGTAATATCCAGTTACATTGACATTTGCCAAAACCCAGGAAAGACGCGATTGCATAAAGGAGTTTGTCGCTGACAGAGAAAACAAAGGAAAAGTGAGATATTAAGAGAGCCATTGAAAATTAATTTATGGTTTTTGATGTCAAGCAATATCCCTGAAATAAAAGATATCTTGTCATTCAACATGTAAAATGAGACAGTCATACTGACAAACTACGAGTAACATGATAGCAACTTTCAGAGCGGTTTTAATGTGTCACAGAATTTGTCACGACATGAGAAACTCTTCCTGTGTCACTTGCTTTACTGGCATTTTCCGCCCCCTGGTGGACTTTTCTTATAGCTCTTGTGTTTTCATTTTCACCCTCCGTTTCTGTTTCATTTACACAAAGAGCAGCCAACGTCCTTGTACGAAGTATAATTCATTTGCAGTAATTCATGTTGTATAATGACATCAGGAAACAGACACAGCTCGCCTTCAAAATAATAATAGACTTCCATGATTCAATTTTCATTTTGAAAGTTGGATAATGCAACAAGATGGGCTGAATAGCTTTGCACGTCCTCTCTCAATGCAACAATGATACAGTCAAAGCGTTCACAACGTTAGGCTGAGTCAGCTGTGGAGGAATGAGTTAACATGCAGCAACATATATTTGCATTCGCTAAGTCGGACAATGAAATTA